GGGGAATCTTGTTGACCCAGGGATCAAACCTGTGTCTCCTGCATTGGCAGGCAGACTCTTTACCACTGCGCCACCAGGGAAGCACATAAAACATTAGGTGGGTCCAATATGATGTTTCAGCCTGGCAGATTGCCAATTTGTAACTTCTGTTTTGAGGTTGTTGGAAGGCAGCACTTTAGGCAAATGAAGGAGGAAGGGAGGCAAGCTGAGGTGATTTTACGACCCCAGCCACTCCTTACCCTTCGCATGCAAGAAGCAGAACTGTGCAAAGTTGACAAGAAAGTCACAATGAACTTTCATCCCAGTGTTCTTCAGATCAACAGGATCACTAGGACCCTGGAGGAACCACGGCTGGCGGTGTCTGAGGGAGCCTGGTAAAAGTATCACCGATCAATTCATTTCAGACATTTCCTTCAGATGTCCCCTTAGAAAGTTAGGGTCTAAATCAGTCATTCTCATTCGTGACAGTCCCTGGCATTCACCTAGGGGGCCTTTAAAAGGCTGTTTGGACTGCACCACAGATCAATTCAGCCATCATCTCTGGGATTACGGCCTGGACATTAGCATTTATAAAAACTCTCCAGGTGATTATTATTATTATTTTGCTGCACTGCCTGGCTTGAGGGATCTTAAGTTCCCCAACCAGGGATTGAACCAGGGCCCACAGTAGTGAAAGTGTTGAGTCCTAACTGCTTTCACCACCAGGGAATTCCCTCCAGGTGATTCTTTTAGGCACCTAAGTTGAACACCACAGATCTAACTAACAGAAACACTGGGTCAGTCTCCCCTCCTGGTGGTGCTTTTCAGAATGTGTTGTGCATGTATGACAGGCCCCCCACTGTCAGTATTCCAAGATGCTGCCCTAGTGTGGGTTTTCTTTCTTCGCTTTCTCTTTCTCTTTGAGAACTTAAACAAGTTCTATAAACCCCATAACCCTCATTGATTAAGTGGGGATAATGATATTTGCCCTTCTAACCTCACCAGCCTATTATCAGGAGAAATGAGGCAATAAATGAGAAACTACTCTGTAAACTGTCAACATTATGCAAGCATCGCTGTTACAAGTGTGCTGCCAGATGCTGGGGTACAGCTTTGATCCTCTGCAGAGAATTTCTGGAGTAAAGTTCCTAATGCCCATGGGGTTGATGCGAATGGTTTCATTCTGACTTAGCTGCAGCTCTCACTTTCTTACCAGCAGGGGTGTTTCATGGCTTGGTAATCCAGCAGTCTGATCCTCTACCCCCACCCCAACTTGAACAGAGAAACCCAGCAGTCTTGCAGGAAAGGGGGGGGGGCATCTAGAGGGGAGACCTATGGAACGAGGCTTCCTATGGTCCAGATCTTTGCTGCTCTTCCTCGGGGTCTGTAAAGTAATTAGCAAAGGACTTCACTGGGGTCCAAGAGATCTGTGACAGCAATAAAAAAGAGGCAGAATAATAAAGGCGTACAAGGGGTGATAAATGGCATGACATAAAGGGGAAATTCTGAGCCCAGTATGGGACACAGCAGCATGGGCCCGGCCTTAGGAAGCTGTCTGATTGGGGCAGATAAGGCCGCCCAGCCCCAGGCCACCCAGCCCCCAGAAGACAGCCAATATCAGGCAGACTGTCGTGACTCAGTGTTACTTATCTGTGGGCCAGGCTCACAGTGAGGTGGTGCGAAAGGATGAACAGGACACTGGCTGGGCATCCGGACTGGGTTTGAGTCCCAGTTCCAAACTCTACCACAACCTGACGCTGGGCAAGATGGACCACCTACTGCTCCTCACGTTCTTACTCTGTAAAGAAGAGCCTTGGTCTAGATCTAGATGGACTCTGACCACAGTCCGAGTTTGCCCTGTGGAAGTGCTGAGGCCTGGGAAACTGCAGTGAGTAGCCATGGTCAGGGAAGCCTTTATGGGGAGGGTGGGAGAGCTGGGTTTCTGGCGAGAGGGACACTGGTCAGGTGGAGGTGAGTGGAGAAGGCTGAGCAAGCAAGGAAATAGTGCAGGGACTCAAACAAGATGGACCTGGTGTGGGCCAAGGACAGGGGGAAGTGGCCTCCTTGGGGTGGAGAAAAGATATGTGGGGAAGAGTGGAGTCAGATCACATAAGGCCTCAGACACCAGGCAGAGATGTTTGACTGGCTCCATCAGGAAAGAGGGGGCCATCAAGGGATTTAGGGCATGGTTATGATGTGATTAGGCTGCCTTTTAGCAGGAATAATGTGGCTCAGACCTCAGAATGACTTGGATGGCAGGAAGCCAGGAGCCAGGAAGGGCAGCTAGAAGACTTGTAATATTTCTGGCATGGGCTGATGAGGACTGAGGGTTGGGAAGAAGCAGCGGGGCAGGCCTAGAGTTATTTCTCAGGAAACCTTGATAGGCCTTGGGACCTGGTTGCATTCTGGGGATGGGGAGGAGTGAGTCCCCTTAAAAACAGATTCTCTCTCAAAGGCAGAGAAGAGAAAGTACTGGCAGCCTCCCTGCCTGCAAACAGAACATCTCAGGGTAGCCTGGCCAGTGGAAGGGTTAGTTTTTCCCTGGCTCCGGCTCAGATAAACATCTCAGTTGTGATGGGGGCTCGGTGATGATGCTGGCCCGGCCTGGGTAAAAGGGTATGTGTACTCCTGATCACTGCCCTGGACTCATTCCATCTTTGAGTGCCAGGCCCTGAGCTAAGTGTGAGACAGAGCAATTAACAAAGCACAATTCTTGGTCCTTGTGAGTCTGGCAGAATCACATTTGCAAGACTTGAATGGCACTTGAGAGCAACCAAATTGTTCTCATCTTCCCAATTTTGCTTTATGGAATTGCAGGTGGTGTAAATGTTTGGTGGCTACCAGGAGACCTCTCTGTTCCTGGCTTATAAGGATGCTATCCATGGGGCGAGGCTTTCCTGATGGCTCAGCAGGTAGAGAAGCTGCCTGCAATGCAGGAGATACAGGAGATGTGGGTTTGATCCCTGGGTCAGGAAGATCCCCTGGAGGAAGAAATGGCAATCCACTCCAGTATTCTTGCCTGGAGAATACCATGGACAGAGGATTACAGTCCAAAGAGTTGCAAAGAGTCAAAAAGGACTGAGCAACTGAGCACACATCTAGGAGGCAGAGCCAGGTTTTGTGAGGCTTGTAGCTTAAACAATTTGGGGGAGCCTCTTTGGAAAGTAATTCAAAATTACAAAATAAAATTGTAGGCCCTCTCAGGGCCTAGACTCAGGGGAATGTGAGCAAGAAGCCTCAAAGTGTAAACCTCATCAGCTTCCAAGTCAATCTTACAATACTCACCATTTATCAATTGCATATTATAAGCAAGTATTTTATTTGTAGTATTTCACAGCAACCAAGGGAGGTAGGTGCCATTAGTATCTCCATGTTATAGACGAGGAAGCAGGCTCAGAGAGGTGACTTTGGATGCCACAACCATAAAGCAAGGCGGTGAGGGTTATGCTCTGGATTGACAGCTCTGGGCTCCAGGGCCACAACTGAGATCCTCTTCAGTTGATGATGGCAAAAATCATGCCCCTGAGGTTCCTGAGAAGTGTTCTGGTCCTAAACCATCCACGCCTGACTCCACTGTACCTTTCTCAGGCCTGGCCAGGGGCTCCCAGGATCCAGGGCTCAGGTAGAGGTTATGGGGCTGGACACTGGCCATCTTGCTGCCTTGGTTCCAGGACCATGGCCTGTTTCGGCAGAGAGGCTACCTACCACCGCGAGGACACAAAACCCAGGGGTGAGCACTGGTTTGAAAACACACAGACTCAAAGTCTAATCCTAGATCTACAGCTTTCTGGTTGTATAGCAAGACACATGGCCTCAGTGAGCCCCCACTTGCTTACCCGCTGAATCAGTAACCATTTCTCTGTATTTTGAGCTCAGTTCACGTCCTCGCGTAAGGCAGTAAAGCGCCTGGTGGTGTCTGGCACACAGAAGCAATTAATCTAAGAATCCTATGGCTGCCATCAGTCCCAGCAGCAACACAAACACCTCTGATTCCGCACCTCCCTTCCCTGTTTTAGAGCCGAATGTTTTAGAGCCAACCCGGCCAACTTCCTTCAGGAAGTGAAAAAGGTGGCATCTAAGAGGGGCGCCTAAAGGGCCCCCCACACTCCACCGAGCCTGGGTGCTCAGGAGCCCAGGGGTTGGGGCCAGTGCCTGCAGCTCAAGTCCCGCCCAGCGGCGTGCGGCGTGCGCCCTTGGGGAAGACGGCTGAAAGAACCGGTGACTCAGGGGCGGACGCTGCGGGGCGTCGCTCTTGGTTTAGCAATGCAATCCGCCAGCCGGAGGATCAGGCCTGGAGGCGCTGCCGCTCGGGCGGGCCAGGGTGGAGTGGGGTGATGCCCCGCCTGTGAGGACCCAGGTGGGTCTCCGCGCTCGGCCCCTTGGACCCGCGAGAGCTGGCAGGCGTGGGGCCCTGGTGCGAGGACCGCCAAGCCTCCCAAGCCAGGCCCCGCTGGCTTTTCACGCCCACTTCTTCGAGTCCCCTTAGGGCGTCTCCCCTTCCCTGGAACTAACAAGGGCGAACCCTAATTTCCGAGGAAGGGACTGCCTCCCCACCCCGCAAGGCTGCCCAGTTCTCCAGCCAGCCGGGCCGGGCGGTGCCGCCTCCCTGCTTGCGCCCCGCCCAAGCAGGACGCCGCCACGCGTGGCGGTGCGCGCGCGACAAAACCTCCCGCCCCTGCGCCGGCTCCCTACGTGGGGGACGTGCCGGGAGATGCCTGGCCGTGGGGGATTTCGCAGCGTCGCCCGCCCTCTTTCAGACGCTGGGAGGAGCGGCCGCCGCGCCCCCCAGGTCCTGGCCCGCCCGCCGCCGCCGGGCGCAGCCGAGGCGCGCGGCAGCCAATGGGCGCCGAGGAGGTGGGCCGGGTGGCGACTGTCACCCTCGCGCGGACGGGAGCGCGCAGACCGGGAGCGCGTGAGCCGGCGCCGCGCTCCGGGTCGTGGGGGAGGAGCCGCCGGAGGAGGAGGAGGAGCCGCGGAGCAGCCGCCAGAGGACCACGGTTCGCCCGGGCTGCGGAGGACAGACGCCGGCCGCCCGCCTGTCGCCCCGAGCCCCCGACCGCCAGCATGATCGCCGCGCAGCTCCTAGCTTATTACTTCACCGAACTGAAGGATGACCAAGTCAAAAAGGTGAGCCGGGGCCGCTGCCGCCGCCCGGCGCTCTGCCCGCAGCCTTGCATTCCGGCATCCGCTCGCCGCCGCAGCCGCCTCCATCCTCCCGCGCCCAGCCTCCCTCAGGCCAGCACTGGTTGGATTGTCGGGCGGTGGGGCAGTCTTCGCCCTTCGAATCTTCCTGGGGTCGTCTGTGTATATGTTGGGGAAAGACCCTCGAGACTGGGCTGCCTGCTGCAGTGTCCTTGAAACGGGCTGTGGAAGTCAAATGGGCCCCCGGGCCATGCGGGGAGGTGGCCATGTGGGGACTGGTGGGCTGGTCCGCGGGGCCTGTTTGGTACGGTCCTAGCGCCGTGGGCGGAGTGATCACAGAGATGCTGGGGAGGTGAGTGCGCGGCAGGCGGGGGTGCTGGCTGGAGGCCAGGCATCCTATATTTGGGGTTCCCGGTGGAGGGCGTCGGGGGTCCGGGAAGACTGTCACCCCAGCTCTCCCAGCTATTGCTATTGCGGCTGCTCCCTTAATCTTAGGACCGAGCGACCCGCATGGCTTCCTGAAACAGGGAGGGGCGCGGAGGCCACCGGAAACTTTGCTCATAGGCCTCAGGTCTGGAGCGGTACGTCTGAATGGAATTTTTTTTTTTTTTATCCCTCTACGTGACCGCTCTCTTAAGCTGTAATTTCCAGCCAGCCCAAGGGACCTCAAATAAGAGACTGCTCTTTTGAGTCGGATGGAGGTCTTGACTTGTATGCTTGTGGCGTGTGTGTTCTTGCACAAGGACACATCTCCCTCCCCTGACTTCTAACATAAAAAACTGTCAGCTGGCAGGTGTGGAAGGTGTATCTCTCTCTTCTACCAGCTTTGGCACCAAGTTTTTAAGAAACAGCCTAAGCTGTAGGGAAAGACGCCCATTTTATCATTGCCGAGCCTGGCAGATGCTCCTGACCCACACCCAAAGTGAGTGACATTATTGCTGGGATAAGGTGGGCTGGACAGCAAAGTCAACCTGACTTTGGAGTTCCAACAGGGGAGCACGTCTGTTCTCCTGGGACTCAGGATTATTAGAGACCACTTACTGTAGGGATCCAAGGTAAGTCCTCCACTTGCAGGACTCCAAGCCCTGTTCTTCCTGTGGAGCTGGGCCCTGCTTGCAACCCGATGAGGACCCAGTGAAGACAAGCCATGATGATTCAGCCCTCCAGCCCTAGGTGGCCTCTGGAGCACTGGAGACAGTTCTGGCATCCCCCACAAATCCTCATCCATCTCCTTGCCCTCTATCCTGGGGGTGGGAAAGGGGAAGACGGAGATGGTGCCAGTGAAGGTTTATGGGATTGCTTGGGATACCAAAGTGATCATGAAAGGGTATCTCTTCTCTCCCCATTGCTTATGGGACATCAGTAATTCAACCTCATAAATACATTCTGTGTTGAAATGCGCCAAGCATCTGGCTTCCCAGCATGGATCGCTGTTTTCCATACTGTGTATGCATAGTGTTAGATGATGGGGTGCAGTGAAAAGTGTGCCCTGGCATTAGGCTTGTGTGCATTCCATCCATCAGAATTCTAGCCACCTGTTAATTCTGCAGCTAGAGCCTGTGTCTTTTGACTTCCAGGCAGCTTTTAACATACCTCTCCTCTCGCCTGCTTCCTCCACTCGGGTTAGCCATTAAAAGCCTGAAGAAAGGTGGAGGGTTACATAGTGCTCTATTCCTTCAGGAAAGGAAGATGGGCCCTGCAAGGTTAGAACTTGGCCTCTAAAGAAAGGCTAGACTTCCTTACCTCCAGGGTTGTCAGAATGGTGAACAAATGCCAGTGCATTTTCCCTGGGAGGGATCCCCATGCTCTAACGGAATTCCCATAAGCAGGTGAGCAACAGGTGTGATTTGTCCAAAGTCCTCGAGTGCTTGGTTCGCAAAGACAGAGGAGAGTATGCTTAGCAGTTACAGGGCTGCCGAGTTCTAGTTCCCTGAGGCCCGTGTCCCAGTGGCGAAAGCAAGCAGTTAAGAAATGGCTGTTTCCTTATTGATTGGGGGTGGGGTGGGGGGAGTGAGAGAGAAGTGATAGAAAGCCATCACTTGCACCTTTTGATCTGGTGTTATGCAAATACCCAGTAAGAGCCTCACTCCCTGGGGAATCTTCATTACACAGCCCCTGTCCCCTTTACCCTTCGGAAGTTCCTTGGAGTACTCCGCCCAGAAAATCCCCAACACTTCCTTTGATTTGACAGGTTGGGATTGTCGTGAGGGAATAAACTGGGAGTGCGGGTGGGTATGAGGGACTTTCACATCTGGCCATGCTGTGCCGTCCTCCCACACTGCTCCTGTTTTCTGGAGAAAGCACGGGCAGCTTTCTCCTCGAAGGACTGTGTGCTTGTAGTCAGGGGTTCCTGCCTGGTAGAATTAGCCACTGGAGTCAGCTCTGAGCATGCCTGGGGAGGCCCTGGGGGAAATGCTGGAGAGGCCAACATACACCTCTGTGCCCAGGGAAGTGGTCCTGGCTAGACCGCCAGCATCTGCTTAATTGATTTGAGGACCTTTAGAGTCAAATCTGATCATGGGAGTGCAGTCATTTCCTCAGAAAATGTTTGAGTCCTTTATTATGTGCAGAGTACTGTACTAGGCTGGAGTGATGACTATAAACCTGGAAGAAATAGTCCCTGTTTTCTCATGGAGTATAAATAATTATCTGCTGTCATATGATAAGTGCAAAGCATAGAATGCTATGAGAGCTCTGGGGGCCATGGTCAGATCTTTGGGTGGGAAATCACTAGCCTAGGAGTTGCTTAAAGTCAGGCTCTAGGGAATTCCCTGACACTCTTGTGATTAGTACTCCATACTTTAACTGCCAAGGGCCCTGGTTTGATCCCTGGTCAGGGAACTAAGATTACACACGTGCTGTGGCAGGGGTTGGGGGGAGGTGGGAGTGGTGTGGCAGGGAAGCTAGACTCTAAATATACAAATGGGAATATTATACTTAAAAACTTCCTAAGAGTGAGTCAAATGGATAGTTACCAAAATGTAGTTTTGCCTTCTCTTTTTTAAAATGGTTCTCTTTTTAAAACACCTTCTGGGCATATGTGTTAAGTCGCTTCAGCTGTGTCCGACTCTTTGTGACCCTGTGAGCCGTAGCCCGCCAGGCTCCTCTGTTCGTGGGATTCTCCAGTCAAGAATACTAGAGTGTGTTGTCGTGCCCTCCTCCAGGAGATCTTCCCAACCCAGGGATCAAACCTGTCTCTTAACGTCTCCTGCATTGACTGGCAGGTTCTTTACCACTAGCACCACCTAGGAAGCCCTATCAGATATCAATTGTGTATGTAGATATATATGTCTGTCTGTATCTAACAATACACACAGACATACTGACACCCACATGGGCATGTGTGTGCTTTCATCTGATCTTTCAGAAATCTCAGTGAGGTTGTCACGGCGGGAAGTGTTATCCCCAAGCGTCCCAGGGCGGCTCCGTCCCCCTCACTGCTCCTTCCCTGCACATCCTGCTGCCTGTGGACAGAAGGCAGAGATTTTATTCCCCTTTTAGAAACGGGGACTGGCTGGAGGCCCAGAGGAGATAAGTAACTTTCTCAAGGTCTTAGAAAACCTGGAATGGGATCCAGAGGGCTGTTGTTTTTAGTGATTTAACTTGGAATCTGTATTTTAATTCTCTCCCCCCACCAATCAGTACATAAGAGTTAATTTTTTATTCTGAAATATTCAAGGTGCATAAAAAATGTTGAAGCTAATACAACAAACACTTGTGTATCCACTGCATAGCTTGAAAAGTAACAGACACAATTGCAGTTTTATTACAGATACAACTGAAACTGCTTCTATGCCCTTCTTCAGTCCCATTCATTTCTCCTCCCAGAGGTGACCTCTGTCCTAAATTTGGTGTTTATCATTTCCTGCATGTTTAATATTTTTTATTACATATCATGTATCTATTAAGCACTGTGTACTGTTACTTTATTTGGCTTGAACCTTTGTAAATGGTGTTATTCTGTTTGTATCCTTCTGCAACTGGCCTTCTTTAAAAGCTCAACATTGTATATTTGAGACTCTTCCATGTTGATCCATGTACCTCTGTTTCATCAATTTAAACTGCTCTTACATTGTGTGAACACACTAAACTAATTTATCAATTCTTTTGGTGTGCTTTTGAATTTCTGATTTTTAAAATTGCAGTGCCATAGGGATCGTCTGTCCACAAAGAAGTTGCTCTGGGCTGTGTTTCTAGGGCTGAAATTGCTTGGTGGAAGAGTGTGTATATCTTCCCATTTTTAACGTTTTGCTAGGTTGCCTTCGTCATCAGGCTTCCAGTTAGAAGTTTTGTACAGGTTCTGAACTCACGGTTGCCAGGGGGAGGAAGTGGGGAAGGGATAGCTAGGAACTTTGGGTTGGACATGGACGCACTGCTATATTTAAAATGGCTAACCAACAAGGACCTACTGTATAGCACAAGGAGCTCTGCCCGATGTTATGTGGCAGCCTGGATGGGAGGGGAGTTTGTGGGAGAACATGTATATGTATAGCTGAGCACCTGAAACTATCACAACATTGTTAATTGGCTATACCCCTATAAAAAATAAAAAGTTTAAAAAAATAGAAAAAACAAAAAAAGTTTTGTACAGGTTCCTATGGTTCCACGGCCAACCCTTGGTGCAGTAAAACCTTTAACATTTTTAATAGACAATTTTAAAACAGACTGTTTCTTCCCAGACATTTCCACGCACATGACAGCATTTGAGCTTGGTTTAAAAATGGCCATTTCCTAGTTTGCCTTTCGAAGGGAGCCCTTGCTGCCAGAGTATTACTGACTGAGGCTGAAAACTCATTGTGAGCAGTGCCCGCCTCCTCGGCTGTTTCCACAATGCATGCGGAGGGGGTGGAGGGTGCAGAGACAAGCTTGTGAGGACTCTCTGTGTCCCCTTGTGCTCTAGTGTGAATCCTGTAAACTTTCCTGGGAATTGAAACACACAAGTGTGCTTTTGCCTGCGCGTCCTCTCTCTTCCTAGGTGGATCTGG